ATAACTTAAAAGGAAACAAAAAAGGTCTACTTGGTTCAGACTTCATGCGACCGTGGAAGATGCATCCCCTCGTAAGCGGGAGACGCTCCAGCGTCAACATTTTTAAAGCTCTATGTAAGGAATATAATCTTTTTGAAGAATTATTTTTTAATTCTTGCTTAGTTTCTTACCTTTAAATTCAAATAAAACGGATATTGAAAACATCCTAATTTAGAGGAACTTAATATTTTTTTTACAATACTAATGTTTCCATAATGTCAAAACACACCATAATCACTAGGGGCATAAACGAGCCGAACACGAGCGAGCTTAGAGCTTATTCGTATTCGGCTCATTCAAAATTTTATATGTTTGAAATAAGCTCGTGCTTGAAATAGCTCATGAATAGCTTGTTCGTGTTCGGTTGGAGTTAAATTCGAATTTGTTCAAATCAGCTTGTGTTTGACTCGATTTAGTGCTTTAAAGCCTATATTTTCTATTTGATTTAAACTCAAATTTATTCAAAACTTGTTACAAATAAAAATTTTATTTTAAAATACTTACAGAAAAAATAGGAATCAATTTGATTATATATTTCATCCCCTTCTCGAAAATAGTTGATAGTGCGAAGAGGAAAACTAGTTTTATTTCCTTTCCTTTTTGCATATATATAGGATTGTAATCAGAAATGTTTCTTTTCCACGGGATGTAGGACAAATGAGTAATCAAGACAAGTCGGTCTTATTTCGTTTACATACATGCCACCCCAATTCTGACAAAAAAAAAAGACAAAAAGGTGAGCCAGGCGGCAACATCAAATCAGATTGCTTTAGATTTAGTGATTCCACCCAAATTAAATAATTACATACATACCACCCCAGTTCTTACAAAAAAGTAAAAAAGGAAGACAGGCGACGACAATAAATATAAAACAGATGCATTTACATTAGTGATTCCACGGAAATTAAATAATTACTTACATACCACCGAACTGTATTATATAATAATTCATTATTTTTAGGGACATTTAAATATATACCACCCAAATTCTATTTATTTACATATCCAACACCAAAATTTATATTTTTTTATAAATATAACACTCATATAATTTATAAAAATAATAAAATTTAGCATTTTTTAATCTATATAAAAAATCAATATAAAATGATAAAAATAAATATTAATGATTATTATTTAATTTTTTTCAAACCAAAAAAGCTGAACACGAAAGAACTAACTTTTGTTTGTGTTTGACTCATTTATAATTCAAGCTTAAAAAATTATTCGTGTTCGGCTCATTTGGTTTATAAACGAATTGAACACTAACTATTTAACGAGTCGAACACGAGCTATCTAATAAACCGAACATGAGTTGTTCGCGAACAACAAGCCGTTTTGATAGCACTAATAATCACCTTGTTTACATATCATAAATGATTATGCAATTAACCTCTATGTTAATTGAATGATAAATACTATTGCTAAGCCTATATTTCATATATATCAACAACACAAATTCAACAACAACATTTTGCTCGTGATTGGGTATGCCCCAGCAATTTTGATTTAGTGCATTTAATCCTTCAAATATGTTATATTTTTAAAAAAATATTCTAAATTATCGATCAAATTCAAAAATTCTCTAAAATTATAACACCCATTGAATGTAAGAATATAATTTTGTAAATCATGATAAACACATTGTAATTATCTAGAATCATAGTTTTCCTAACTTCATTTAGTATTCTTTAATTGGCTGAGTTATTATGCCTACTTCTAAATGATATGATAAACTAACCTTACGATTGATTGCCAAATTTGATCCAGGGTGTCTCAAAGTTCAGAGTTTCTAATTTTGATTTTGGATGATATTCACGAAATTACATCATCAAAATTAAATTTACAATTAATAAGCTCTAGTTTAGTCAAAATTTCATTTCTTTTGAGAAAAAAACAATAGAAAACACAATTTTGCTACAAACAACATTTTAAAGTTAATAAAGAAGTTTAGAACCAACATAAATCACACGTTGATCAAAATATCATGCCACAATAAAAAAATATATAGATTGTATAAAATTTTTAGCTCGATAAAAACCATTAAGAACTATATAAAACAAAAAACAAACACGAAAAAAAAAATCACCAAAAAAGCAATTCATGCAGTATGCCAAAACAACTAGATAACAGCCTCCAAAATCTCGTAGTCATCATTTGCACCACACTAAGAAAATCCACATCCAACTAGCACTCGAGTATAGAAAGAAAAAAATAAATGAACTAAAAAATTTCTTATTGTAAACTAATTGTAGCATTCCTCAGATCGTCCTTTGTTTATAATATAATCACAAGAATCATTCTCCATATGACAAAATTTGTATTATGTTCGCAGTCCCATCCCACTGAAATCCCCCAAATATAATTGCAATTCATAAAACAAATACCAACAATGTCACATCAATTATAGAAAAAACAACATAAAATAATTAAGGAGCAAATTAAAAACCCAGCAGAAAACTGATTGCTGGAAACCATAGAAACAAATAATGTGTCAGCAGAGCAAACAAAAAAACTAACAATAGAACCAAGTAACAATGGTAAATATTGGCCTCCAAATGGTTCTAAGTATTTTTTTAGAAGAGTGAGAATTGAAAAGGTTTGCATCTTTGTTAAATTACATTACTAGCGTATAAGTGCTCATATAAGAGATCAATGAATAATGAAGGAGAATATCACCATTAATACGGAATTATAATAACAATATAAAATACATATTTATATGTAAATTAGTAAATGTGATATTTAACAATGATAACACTCTCCCACAAACTCAAGGTGGCATGGAACATGTCAATTTACACTTGGAAATATAACTATAAATGTAAGTGACAATTTTGTTGTTAAGAGATTGTGAGTACCTTAAGGGAGCACCAATCGATCCATGAAAGAGATAGTAGTGTGAATCCGATGCAAAGATTCAACGTGTGCAACAATATCCATGTCAGAAAAAGCAGCAATGAAATTCTTAAATGAAGGTATTGATGGAGAGCGACAAAGTATTGATAGAGAATTTCAATGCCATGAGGACAAAAAATAAAGATTGGAATAGTCTTCTTTAATCACAAGTTGATTTGTGAGAGATAATAATAAAACTAATTGCTCCAATAGTCGACCATTGAGATGATTTCAAAGTCATCTAAAAAGGTGGGGGGAGTTTGGTGGCTTGAGGTGTTGTACAAAGACCATAGGATAATTAACATGGAATAAAGTTAAAGGGTGAGGATCCAGTGGTTGAAGATAGCGTCAAGTGCAGAAATTTGGTTCTATTTAGCATGTCGAGTGCATGTGATGGACACTAAGGTGGTGTGGCAAAGGTGGAAACATAAAGAAGAAAGATGAAGATTACAAGAATATGGGCGGACTACACAAGGATTGAGTTTCAAGGGAAGAATCGCACAATGATGAGCTTAAGAATGTGCACAAATTGCAAAAGAAAGAAAGAAATAGACAAAGTAAAACCATGCTTGGATACAAATAAGAGAGAATTAAAAAGGAGCACATCTTTACTGACTTGTCTTATGTACAAGCATATATATACGTAAACATAGACAGCAAAAGAAATCAATTAAGAAAAATAGAATATAACAACATTAGCATAAATAATAAAGAAATATTAAAATAATAAATAGTATAAATTACTATTATAAATAAGCCATCTCATGTTAAAATTAATAAATGGCAACATATAACTATTATATTATAAAATCAACATCATGAATATCTATTTTAAACCATGGATTCTATTATGCATGGAATCAGTCACAACTCAAAAGATAAAAAAAAGTTTTATTTTTAAAAATATTATCCAGGTTCTGAATTCCTCATACTACTTCAATCCACCAAACAAATAAAATAGACATTAAATGATTTTTTGATGAGAAGCAATTTTTATAATATTTCAAGTTTCTTTTTGTACTAATTTTGTGGAAATACAAATAATTTTAAAAGCACTTTGAGCCTATAAAGCACACCTTGGTCAATATGTTATCTGAAAAGTAATTGATGTTGTGTGTGTATAATGGTTTCACAAATGTGCATAACCAGTACAACTGTAAGCATTGTCTATAAGAAAATTTTACTGATTAATATCTTCATAAATGTGTCCCAAATACATTGTAGCCACTAATTATGAATTAAAATTTTCATTAAAGCTTTTCTATTAGTAATTCAAATTATACAATAACAACAAACCTTTATACCACTAAGTGGGGTATGCTATAGGAATCTTTTTTCTCTATTGTGTCCTAGTGAGTGTCATATTTTCATTTAATTCTAATAAATTAATATCATCTTTATTACAACATGCCCAAATCTTTTTACTTTGACCTCTACTTTTATTAACATAAGTCAAATCTAAAACATCTACTCTCCTAATAATGTCATCAAATGATCGACAATAATTCAAATTCTTATAATTCAGAAAATTTAATTAAACCATAAAATTTGTTATTTGAACTTACTTCTTTTCTTTATCAACTTTAATTTGAATGATTTTTTCAACTATGTTTATCTTTTGCATGCATTATATAACCGCATCGTAGGAGGAGAGCAACGGTGTCCATTAATTTAAATTTCATTGATATGGCTGTCAAATATAACATTGAAATTATTCATTCTATTTTACCAACATAAACAAAAATGGCACTACAAGTTAAGGACGATCACAAACATCAAGGATACTCAATGGATACCTTTAATTGCATTTGATGATTATTGTGATTTCAAATATGTAAAGCTAGCATTAAATAAAATATCTGAATATTTAATGAATCTAGAAGTTCTACAAAAGGTTTGATCAATAAATAAAGGGAAGCGAATATGCTTAAAATAAAATAACAAAATGAAGGAAAATTATCCTCCTAAATATAGATAATTTATCAATAAACATCACAAAAGAATATTTTTCATAAAGAGTAAATATTTAACACAACATGAATCAAATTAAAGTTTTCGCTTACCTCTTGAGGTGTTTCTCCTTATCGGCGGGGCTATTCCCCCTTTTTCGTTGTGTTGGAAAAACAACCGAGGATAGAGAGCATGTGGTAATGCCACCATCTGTCATCCGATCAGAAATAGAGGGAAAGGCTTGCTCATATCCAACCTCTGGCACTCTTCTCATCTCTTCATCGCTCTCATCTACATTCCGAGAGGAAAAAAAACATAAGAAATTTTCAACTCAAAACCTATAAGAAAATGAAATGTAATAATTAAAAAAGAAGACTAGAGAGGTCAAACAGGCTAATTGTAATTTTATCCTGAGATAATGTTGAATTTTTACTAGCAAGACACACAGGGTAAAATAAAATAGAAAGGGGAAAAGGGAGAAAATAAGTGAAAAGTTTTAAGATTTCACGAGATGAATAAAGATAAAAGAGCTAAAAGTTTCCCAAACATCATTGATTCAAATTCCCCTTTGAACCCCTATTTCTAGTTTTTTGAATGGGCTTTTGGTGCTACAAGAAGAGCTATATTGAAAAAAAAAAAAAATGTATGAGATGTCATAAAATATGTAGCCAAAAAGTATAATAACTTGAGAAGTCTCTGATCAAACTCATCATTGTGATAATTGATAAAGTCAGTTTTATAGGGTGAGAATGCTAACTCGACAGATGAAGTCATTAGGTAGTTTGGCAAAGTCGTTGACTTGTTGAGCGTAATCATCAACTTGTTGATTGAAGTCACTGATTTACAGCAAAAGACATTGACTAACCAAATGAAATGCAGGTGAATGGCTTTTGAGCTCAAATGAATGACGCTAGTTAAACCTGGGATGACTACTCTTTGGTAAGCTCACTACAACCCTAAAGGGTTAATTTTTTATTTGGTCAGTGCAAATATGATTCTAGCAAGTTCACAATGTTTCAAGTAAATTTTTTATACCCCCAACAAATTGATTGTGCACCTAGTGAGTCACAATGAATCGGTATGGCTTTGCCTAAATCAGGCGTTAGGCCCTTGATATATTTAAACGTGCATTTATTTGGTTCTATAATTCACCTATATACTTTGAAAACAACTCCAAAAAGAATAAGAAAATAAAAAATATATTTTCCTTCATAATTAATGAAATTATATTGATTAATCACCACAATTTAATGTGTTATTAATTTATATAATCTAAGAAATGAAATCCATAAATAACCTCTCTTCCTTCTTCCAAGATACTTAAGTTTGAATTTCTTCTCACTCCCCCAAGAGTGATGGCTCTCTAATTAGAGGATGCCAAGATCCTAGTGCAAATGTAAACTGCAAAGCAAGCAGGGATTTGGACAAATCGCAATTGTCTCCTCCTCTCCTTTAAAGAAAATAAAAGTGAAAGCTGCTAAAAGTATATAAGAAAAAAGGAATACTTCACTACCAAGGTACCCACAATGCGTGCACTTCTCAAATACTCCTAACAATGTAAAAACATCAGTGGAATCTTCTATCTATTGAGTTCAACTAGAACGGTTATGACAAAGAAATTGGAGATGATCCAAATACAATTCCCAATCAATACTATTTAATAAGACAGACCACGTAGTTGATTCTCCCATTGCTACTGTAGTTAGTGATAAGCTTAAAAACATTGTCAAGGCTATATCATCCTTGAAGATCAAATAGAGGTGCAGGATTCCAATGAATGCTAACTTCCAAATTTATAATCGCAGGAGAGATTGTTGTGGTATATTGAAATAAAATAGAACGATCGACGATGAAGTGAAAAATAGAACAAGAAAATTCACACCATAAAAGAACACAGATTTACGTGGTTCGACAAATTGCTTACATCCACGGAGTTGCAGAGGATTTTACTAATTGAAGAATTTACACCGTTTGATCACGTCGACAATTACAAGATCTCTCACTTGCTCTCTCTCTCTCTTTATACCGAGATTCACCCAAGAGCAAGAACACTGAAGAAGAAGAAATACGTACAAGAGGAAAAATCTATTTCTCTTCTGCCGCAAGTCAACAAGAAGAAATAAAAAAGAGCACTTTCTTCTTCCACTATCTTCTTCTTCTTTTTGCTAAGCACGCAAAAACAACTAAGAAAGAGCACATTGCGAAAACATATTTCTCTGCCTTCTGCTTTCCGTAAGCCTCAAGAAGAATCCAAGCAGGGAATCTCCTTTCCCGTTTCCGCAAATTGAAGGAGACAAAGGCTTTTCTGTTTCCGCGAACGGAAGAAGGCGACTTGTTTCCGCGAACTGAAGGAGGGGAGCGTTTCTGTCTTTCGAGAGATGGGAGGAACTTATGTTTCGCGAAATCAGAGGAGACGAACGTGGGAGAGAGAGAGGCGGGAGTATGTATTACTTTTTTTTATTTGAACCGGGTTTCACACAATAAATCTCTCACTTGAAGACCGGTACACAGACTCCAACTTCTTCTTTCTCAAACTGATATCCTCCACTGACGACGTAGCCCTTTTCCTCAAACGTGTTATCCTCTACCTCTGCAACTCAAGACTCATCGGTACACAGACTCCAACTTCTTCTTTCTCAAACTGATATCATCCATATCCTCCATTAACAACATTGCATTTTTCTTCAATCAGGAATCATCTACCTCTGCAACTCAAAGCCCCTGTCTTCACACCAGAAGACCAACTGAAGCTGCGCACAACTTCAGGTTCTCAAGAGTAACACCCATAGTCAACATATCAGCAGGGTTCTGGCTTCCACAAATTTTCTCAAGCAACAACTGTCCGTCATCCAACAATGACCGTATAAAGTGATACTTGATCTGAATGTGCTTAGTCCTGGACTGAAATGTTGAATTTCTAGCAAGGAGTATGACGCTCTGACTATCACTGTAGAGAATGTCTTTCTAATCCTTTTGCCAAATTCTTCCAAGAAGCTCTATAGCCATATCATCTCCTTTGCAGCCTCTGAGACTGCTATATACTCAGCTTCTGTAGTAGACAACGAAAATGTCTTCTGTAGATTAGAACCTCATGATACTGCAGTGTCACCAATAGTACAAATATAGCCCGTAATATTTCTGGTATCAATGTCTCCAGCTAGATCAGCATCAACATAGCCCCGTACTTCTGAACTCTTTCATGAGAAACACAAGCAAGTTTCTGCAGAGCCTCTTAGGTACCTCAAGATCCACTTCACTGCTTCTCAATGTTCATTTCCTGGATTACTCATGTATCTAACTCATGTATCTACGAAAAACTCCCACTGCATGGGCAATATCAGGCCTTGTGCAAACCATAACATACATAAGTGAATAAATAGTTGAAGCATAAAGGACATTACTCATGTGATCTCGTTCCTCCTCTGACTTGGGTGGTTGATTCTTGCTGAGTCTGAAGTGACTTCCCAAAAGTGTGTCAACTAGTTTGGTCTTATTCATATTGAACATGCTAAGTACCTTTTTCACATACTCAACCTGAGAGAGTCTCAACATGTCTCTGACTCTATCTCTGACAATGCTCATAACAAGAATTTGTTTTGCCGCTCCCAAATCCTTCATTACAAAGTGCTTTGACATCTGCTCCTTCAGATTATTGATCTCATTAATACTAGCACCTACAATAAGCATATCATCCACATACAGCAGTAGGATGATATAAGAATTATCAAAATACCTGACATAGCAACAGTGATCTGTCTAACATCTGTTGTACCCTGCACTGTGCATGAAATTATCAAATTTCTTGTACCACTGTCTAGGAGCTTTCTTCAGGTCATACAAGCTCTTCTTCAACCTGCAAACTGGCGATTCCTTTCCTTGTACCACGAACCCTTCAGGTTGATGCATGTCGATGTCTTCTTCAAGATCCCCATGAAGAAAAACTGCATTCACATCTAACTGCTCAAGGAAGTGATCTTCAGTAGCCACTATACACAATACCATTCTGATGGTTGTAAGCTTCGCCACAGGAGAATAAATCTCTGAATAATCAATACTGTGCTTCTACTGAAAAACTCTTCACAACAAGTCTAGTCTTGTACCTCTTACTGCCATCATGCTCAGTTTTTACCCGGTACACCCACTTGTTGTGTAATGCCTTCTTCCCAGATGGAAGTTCTGCCTTCCCAAGTCTGATTTTCTAGCAGAGAATTCATCTCCTTCATGGCTAGCTCCCACTTTCTCGAATTTTTATCTAGCAAGATTTCTTCATAACTCTGAGGTTCTGCACCATTTGTCAGCAAAATGTAATTCAAAGTTGGAGAATAACGTTGTGGAGAACGTCTAGTCTTTTCTGACCTACAAACTGCAACAGTAGGGGTAGACTGCTCTGAAACTGATTGTGGATCAATAAGAGTGGATGCCCCGGATCAACTCTCCTCATCACCTGCATCTATGTCCTATATCGTGACCTCTGGTTAATTATCAAATCTTACCAACTCAGATTCCTTCAGTGCTGTTTCAGAAACAGTATTGGACTTGTCCTTATACATAACATTCTCATTGAAAATCACGTTCCTGCTCCTTATGATCTTCCGACCTTGATCATCCCAGAAACGATATCTAAATGCCTCATCTCCATAGCCAACGAAATGACACTTCTTTAACTTAGCCTCAAACTTACTTCGAGCATCAGGATTAATGAGAATATAAGAATGACAACCAAAAGTCTTAAGGTGAGAAAATTTTACCTTTTTTCCACTCTAGACTTCTTAAGGTAATTCACAGTTTAATGGAACAGATGACCCCCTATTGATCAAATAAACTACAATACTGATCGCTTCTGCTCAGAAAGTAGGTGGTAGCCCGACGTGCAATCTCATGCTTCTAGCCCGCTCATTAATGGTTCTGTTCATGTGCTCTGTAACACCATTTTGCTGTGGTGTCCCTGGAGTGGTCTTCTCCATTATGATGCCCTGAGCTGCACAGTAATCCTTGAACCCACCATCAATGTACTCACCACCAGACCTCATACATTTCAGCTTTAAGCATGTCTCTGTTTCAACTATGACATTCCAAGTCTTGAACATATTAAATACATCAGATTTATACTTCAAGAAATAAACCAATACCTTTCTGCTATGATCATCAATAAATGTGACATAGTAACGAGAGCCTCCAAGAGATGCTACTAGAGAAGGCCCCCACACATTTGTGTGTACAAGATTCAGTTTTCCTGCTTTTAGCATCCTGCCACCTTTCAAAAAACTGACAATTTTCTACTTCCCCATAAT